TAGCCCCTGTCTGCTATAATCTGCACTCTGCAGTCCATGCTAAGCCGCGTTTCAACACAGCAACACAGGCCTCATTGTCAATAAACGAACGTAGTAACATCCCACTTGTCAACTCTCGATTTCGCCCCGGGCTCTAAGCACGTCCGCCAGGAAACGACGAGTCAGGACGAATATGAAAAGCAAACGAAACGGGACAATTGATTTTACGGCGCACTAGCTGCAGGGAATGCTCTTACACACAGTGTTCGCACGCAGTCCTAGGCAAGAAATATTGCACAACTGACCCTGGTGCATTCATGTTGCTGCCCTGGACCCCCCCTAGCCAACCCCCCCTTTGGAGCCACCCGAAAGTGGGGCCGGAGATAGGCCAAACTGTTGCCGAAATCATCCATCCACATTCACGCTACGTCATTACAGAGGTCAGGACGGGTGGACAAGAACCCTAAACCCCAAACCCTATAAACCCTAAATGACATGAATGTCGTCTATCTCCAGCTCTAACTTTGGAGAAGGTTGCAAGTTGAGACGTCGAGGATGACAGTTCCGCGTCGGGTGGCTCTGGGATCCGCGTCTCCCGTTCGCGGATCTACCGAGAATGTGCTACGAGGCCTGCGGATCTCACAAAATGTAGAGGCCTTAGTAATTAGAACAGGGTCGTGGGAAATCTTACAGCACCCATAGATGTACCCATGTTCAGGGCCTGTATAGGGACTGAAGAGGGAATCACAGGCTGCGAGTGCCATATTCTTACATTGAGGACCACCCACAAGCTCAATGAAGCCTCCTCAAATCGGCAAAGCTCATCCTTCAGGTCTCGGATTTTTTCTAGGGCTTAGGGATATACGGGCTTAGGGAGTGCATGGGACGACCGTTCATGTACGCACCTTGGAACAACAAAGAGGCCAGAAGTTCTTTGACTCTTATACCTTATCTTTCCGGAGTTCGTGGGCAGGCGGGCCTTGGCAGCCATCTCCTCGCCGGTCTGATCCAAGCGTCTGACGGCCCAAGCAAACAGTCTTAGATAAGGGCCTGAACAATTAGACTAGGGTTTTGGTGGACACTACAGTAGAATCATTATACGGGTCCCGAAGCAATACTGTTGGTATTTATTTTGGCTTCTGTTCTACAGATATGAGTTGTTTCGTTTCGACCGGTAAGGTCTTTCGGGGCCTTCCGGATCGGATTCGACCTGCTGCGGCCACAAGTTCTTAGGGTTGGGTCCTCTCTTGCTACCTGCTATCGGGTTTAGGGCTTAACGGGTTTCGAGTCTCACACTCGCACCAGACCAGGCAGGCAAGGCTCCGCATAAGGGGCTTTACGGGTTTAGGGCTAGGGTTTGTGCAGGCAAAGGAAGTGCGGCAACCAGCTACGAGTACCACAAAGACCGAGCCCTTCCTGCCTGAGCGTTCGTTCGAGGACAGTTTGCTGCAGGCGCCGCTGACCTGCCTCGTCCAAGTGCTGGGCGGCCAGGCCCATGCACATCCTTTGTTGGAGTGGCACTTTTTGCATCCGGCTTGAGAAGTCGGCCGGGGAAAGTGACAGAAAACAACAGCATGGCGCCAAGCCGTAGCGCCACTGGCTACAGTTCATGGTGTGTGGCAACCCTGCCCTCTCCTACATTTGCATGGAGCCAAGGCTTCAGGGATTCGATTCTGAGGAAGGCCTCCTCGGCCGGGCGGGGCATCTGTTGATCCAAGCCGCTCCACACCAATAATGCTGTCCTGCCGGCAAGCGCCAGATCTACACCATTCAAATCAGCCCAATGTAAACCGTTCAAGCGCAACGCGCATCCCAATCCAGCTAACTAGTCATCCCAAAGCCCCTACTCAACATTCCAAGCTCTAACCCCTCAGCCGTACATCCACACCAGTGACTTGTGCCTCACGCTCCAGGAGGGTCTTTCCCTGCAGCGACGCCGCTGCCAGGGTGAAAACTGCGGCGCCGAGGAAGTCCTCCTGGCCGAAAATGGTGCAAGTTATGCAACGTGCATTCGTTCTTGGTGGTCTCCGCCGGTTTCTGGGGTTTCGACTCGATGTAGCTTCCAACCACCAGAACGAGCTCTCTTCAGTCGTCATCTCGCTCCGCTGCATTGGTTTTCTATGGCAGCCATATTATGAAATCGCACACCTAAATTGGCGTCTGTGACGTGTGCTTCTTCATCGTAACTCAAGTTGCTCAATGCGGATATCACAAGCAGCTGATGATTTCATCCGCTTGGCGCTCGCCAGTTCAACATGCACTGTCTCTATATTACTATCAAGAAGGAATGTGAAGTTAGGATATCACATTTCGCGTTCGTCTCGTGTCCTTGTCCGTTTCGGAAATTTCGGAATGCTCAAAGGACTCATCTAGTCGCACTGCTATATACGACGTAGCCCATGGACAGTCTGCCAAGGTGCGCTGCCACTGGCGCTCTGGTAGTCCTCCTGCCACACCTGCTGCACCTGCAGATGGGCTCGGAAAGCGTGGTGGTGAAGACGAGGAATAAAGATCGAAAGGGCCTCACCAGCCCGAAATACTGGTGTTACGAAAAGCCACGTTGGATCTTCAGGATGTTCTCACGATGACGAGCGTGTCGGCTGTGTATGACATCGCTACTCGGAACACTGTTGGCAAGCGTGATGTGATGTGGACTCGTGCCATTATTAGTACAGTCCTGCCGTTGCTGGTTGAGTGTCTGGAGCTTGTAGAATTCGAACTTACAGTTTCTTGTAAAGCGTCTTCGGCGAGATGATTCGGGATACAAGCTTCATGGTGCACATCCTCGTATGCAGTTGCTCCCGAAGTAGTACAAACAGCAGCAAGATTCAACGGTACACGTACTACGACAAGGTGTGTTGAACGTGTGATAATCGTGCAGACCGATATGTGTGTGCCAGAAGTGCCTCCATAGCGGAGGTGTTGCCATGTGTCTCAGCGCACCGCCGCAACACCTCCCAAAGGGCCTGCGCATCCGTAGGCTATTCACTACCTACATGGGCAGCGATCAGGAAATACGGCCACGACACGGATTCCTTGTACGCATGCATGTGTGTAACTTATAGTTATATGCATAGATGCATGCACTGTAGAACAGCTCAAGAATGTATCATTGCAGCAGGCGGGCTCTTCAGAGGTGCGAGGCAAGAGGGAGGCAAATCAGCCACAGATTCCGGAAAGCAGAAAAATCCGCTTGGGAGTTCATTACTTGATAGGTTCGCTGCCGACAGCCACAATCTGACACCAAGCAACCCCACACTTGTTGCCCGACAAACTCGCATCATGTCGCAGGGTGGACTTCAGACTTCGACCCTGTCTGACCAGTGTTCAAGATCAGTCCGACCAAGCACATCTACCGGGAGAGGCGCCTGTACATCCATAGCCTCGGACATTTGGCACAGCTTCGCACCGTGAAGTACGTCGTCATCAACATCACGTGCGTGCCGCAAGTGTTATCGGCAATGGTCTAAGCTGTTGATGCTGTTGATGATAACGAAGGTTCTGATTGGTGGCGGCGTTGATGCTTGAATGGTGGCTGTGTCGGTGCTAGTGTTAGGATGGAAGTGTTGGTTTCGATCTTGTGGCACACTCGTCCCCAAACAACCATGACGGGAATTTCTATGTCAAGAAGATTCAGCCACACTGTCAACACATGCTGTGAATGAAACATGCCGCAGGAGTGGTCATACAAATCTCTGTCGAGAAGAAGTGCAATCAGGCAGCCATCTCAGACGTGATCTCTCACACCGCTGGTTGACATCCGGCTGCGAAGGCCATGGCCATTGCTAAGCGGCAATCCACCCAGGTAAAAATGTATTCCTTAAAGTCTTAGCTGTGCAGAGCTTGTCAGAAGGTCTGGGTCTTCTATGTTGGTCATTGCCAGGTGTTCTCTCTGCCACATGCCTGGATGCTGGCTGCAAGTTTGAAATAGTCTCGACCCCTTCTAGTGTTCGATTGCTTCTCTTGCAGAATGGGTTGAAATGGATGGAGTGTTTTTACAACGTGACCTCCGGTAGTGACTCTTGGGTAGGCGTTCTTGTGTTCTTGAGAGCGCTTAAAGAAGCTGCGTCACGCAGAACAACCAGTAATTACTCTGATACAATAAACATGACCTTTGTCTTGGCTACTAGTAGTTTTTCCGTCGGTCTGATAAAACACACTCGCACCTCTTGTTCTCGGTGCATTGCCATAGTAACTGTATGATTTCAATGACAGTTTTGTCAACTACCATCTGTTGTAACTCTGCGACTGGAGTCTCGAGGATACTTCGTTTAATTCAGGCATTGCCCGGTACTGAACCGTGATCATGAAGCCATCACATGTAGTACGATGCACAACCCCCATGTGGTACGATGCACAACCTCCATGTGTATGGATCTGCGCTGTGGAAATCAACCGGCCCTGCACACAGGACTTCACAAGCTATAAGCCGGATTGGAGAAACAACGCCAGCCCAACAACCTTTGCTGAATAGGCACAGACTGAGCCACTACACAGGACCACTGTCATAAGTTCGCGCCACCCGTAGCTCGTTTCAGACCACCGTACTATATACACACAGGACCGCTGTCTTAAGTTGGTGCCTGCGGTACCTCATTTCAGACTGCCGGCCTTAAGTCGTACTTCTACGACTTTCAGATCTCTCAAGGAAACTCCGCAGGTCGCTCTTCAGAACACGACCCCTGAGTTGAGAAACTCTGACTTGGGCGGTCGCTCTCGGGCACGGAACGCAAAGGGTGGTTCGGCGGTAGCTCTTCCCCCTCGAGGCCCTGAGATAAAGCTCAGCTTCTTGGCGTCGGCTTTGGGAAGGAGATGCGCAAGCAGATGATTGTTCAACAACCCTTGACCCAAAACGGGAGACATGAGGATGGATGGGGAATCGGCCTCGAAGGGAACGACTCCAAGTCGCGAAACCCAGCACTGCTGTAGTTTTTGTTGCATGGCATGCAGAAGCTGCAGCATCTGTACTAAAGAACCGAAAGGCCGAATGACAGTGCTTCGCAAACCCACCTGAAAACAGCCAGCATCTGGACTGCAACACCGTCCTACTATTCGTTGAACAACGCTAGCAGCCGCTAGCAGCTAGCACATCTTTTCCGATTCTCCGAACCCTCTCATGGAGCCTCGTAGACGTCGAGGCCAGCTCTGAAGCGGCCTTCCTGCGATATGATGGGGTCATGAGACCTCCCCTCTGAAGTCTGTGACATTCGAAGACCAACATATCCATCCGTATGCTACTCGTTTATATACTTACAGACAAATAAGCAGACAAACAGACAGACACACGAACAGAGGTGTAAGGTCTTGGAACGTGCTTGACATGACTTGATGATACCATTCTTGATCACACTCAGGCCTTCGGATCTAGCTGATTCTTACAGTTCCTGTGAGCCAGCCCTACCTACTAAAGATAAAAGGCTCCACGGGTGTTGAGCATGTCTTGGGGAAGCACTGCAACCAACGCATTCCCTCGCTCCTTCAGCATTTCTGTCAACGCCTTCTGGTCAATGATGGCACCTGCACATGCAGACACACGGAACACGATTGAGCGGCGGAGCTTTGAACCCTGAACCGGGATCAACAGACACAGAGAGGCATCAGCTAATATTAATAATTAATAGGCCTTGTCATATATTTCCGGAAGAACCAGAAACGCCAGGCCGGCCAAGCATGCGCTCCGCATTACTCCACCCAAGAGGCGCGTTGTTCCTAGAGCCGGCATCTCAGGGTTGAAGTCAAGGCGCCGAGGTGGGAGTTGTGTGACAACGGATCTTCCGAGCAAGCCAGGCTAGAACTGCCAAGGCCGCAAAGGCTCCAAGCTTGGAGGCATGTAAGACAAGAGAAAAACTCGCACAGGCGCCTCTGGCACAGTTGATCAAGATGGAATCGGGGCGCAGCAGCTTCAGCATCCTCGAGCAGTGAATATAACTGAGTAGGTGTAGGTGTAGGGCGTTGTCGGAGTGGTCTACCAATCTATCTCTGCCTCGATCTCTTTCTATGTTGGGGCCCAGGGGCGCCCTCCCGGGGCGCCAAGCCGTGCAGACCCATCCTCGACAACCGGGTATGAGCCTGGGCGGCTCCTCGAAGTTAAGCGAGAGTGGCCATTGCGAGCAGCAAAACCCCCAACTTTGAACCTCAAAACGCTCAGTTCGCACCCCGAAAACTCCAGGCCTCCTCTCCCTCCCCTTGTAGAGCGAAGGTGTGTAAATTAAAGCCACCTTCGATTGACCATCCCCTTGGAGGCCGCCGTGAGCGCACAGGCGATCACGATGATATCCTCGTTGGTCAAAACAACTGGGACTACGCTAGGTGAGGTCGTCGGCGCTTGACTGGTAAAGTGCCATGCTGAAGCAGCGAGAGCTCTGTAATTACCAGCCATTTGGGTGCAATCGCAGCTCCGTGTGCAGGATTACAGAAGCTTGAGCGTTAGCATCCATGCTGCTGCTTTCAATTCAGCAGGGCTTTACAGATCCTTTTATTCAGGAGTTGTGCCGTAGCAGACAAAGAACTGCGGGTGCCACGAAGTCTCACGCAAGTAGCTCGGAGCCATGGTTTCCGACTCTCGGATATGCTACAGTATGTATCGGCCAGCTCTCCCCATGGAAGCTGACCCTGAAACACTGAACCCTGTACCAGGACACTCCAAGTACCCTCAAATAGGGGTAAAGGGTCCCGAATTAAGGGTGTTTAGGGTCTTTAGAAGGTGGGAGGGGGGGGGCTAGGTAAACTTGCCCTATACTCCCTGCAAGCCGGTACAGTAAACTTCGTCGTCTGGCCAGATCTTTGGGGCAAAGGCAGAGTGGAGGAAGATCGTCGCCAGGGACTGAACGTATTCCCCGCCTTGCGGCTCATATGTGCAATGAAGGAGTCCGTAAAGTCCAGCCGAATAGGTAAGCCGTTAAAGCTTTTACAATCATTCTTTCTGGCAAATTGTGTAGGCATGTGGAGCTGAAGCTACTGAGGCCGTGCCGCGGTCAGATAGGCTGCCTCTACTACAGAGCGCATCCTCCTAATACATCACAGGGCACGTCAGCCGATGCGGTTCAGCACACCGAACTCTCTACCCCCGGTGCCCACGCGACGACAAGAGCTCACCACGGCAGATGCCTATTGCGGAGAATTTGTCGTTCCTGATGGGATCCTAAGCTCCCAAGCTGTGACACATTCTGGTCTTGCATAGTTACTCAAACGGCCGCAGAGCTCAGGCCCCAGCATAGCCAATGACGTTGGAGACACGAAAAGCCTGCTGCGCAGCGGCTGGACCCAGCTGCCGTTCGTACACAGAAACACAGGAATGCTGAGAACCACCTTGCGCCATCCTTCCTCGTAAGCTTCGCTGCACAGGTCATGGACTAGCGGTCTCTGGAGCACTCAAAAGAGCAGTTGTGACTCTTTGCATGTGGCCTTGCCGATCTCGGCCACTCGCAGGCCAATCTGGCCTGTACCAACAATCCTCAGTTTACATTTCTATAGTGCCAATGACTATAAGGACTCAGGTCACGCATCAAGCTCTTCGGGCAGCGTGCTGTAGCCGGGTGGATTCCGAGCCGAGACCCCGCGTGCTTACATCCTCAAAAGACGCACGCCTCAGCCACTGCAACCCAATCAGAAACACTGGACCCACACCAGAGCCCAAACTTCGGGCTTACTGGGACAGGAATGTTGTGACTAGGCCGGCGTTGTTGTAAATTGGGGTTCTTGCTCTGGGAGAGACTTCCAGACGGCCTTATGAAGTCTGCTCCTAGCAGTTGTCCCACCGGCTGGAGGTGTTCACTTATCAAGCCCACCGTCCAAGCTCTGAAATGCGTGTCTCAGGACTGAACCCCAGGCGTCGTCCGCTGAGCTCGTTTCCCGGGGGCCAGGACCACTTCCCTGAGCGCACATGCCTGGGTCAAGTGCGTGGAGCTCATCACCAGTGCCATGTTCATGGGTTGTTTTGCTGAAAAACATCGTCACATGTTGAGGCAGCAGCCATACAGTGTTGCCATCACGGATCATGGTCAGGGTCTATACTGATAATCGAAAAAGTCACAACCTGAACACTACCGCTATGAAAGGGTGTAGAGGCTGTTGATAATGACGATGCCGATCATGATGGTGATGCTGGGCATGATGAAAGCAATAACGAAACCTGGGGCTGAGTTTTGAGATGTTTTGAGTGCTTAGGGTATGACTGCAACCATGTTCGGAGCAAGCCGTGGGTGTGGCTCTGGGAGGCCGTTGAGGCAGCGGTGGCAGTGACAATGATTACTGCTGCCAGTGCTGTTGCTAACAAAAGTCAGGATGAGCACCATGGAAGCAAACAACAAAACAAGCGGAGGTAGAGCTCATGGAGACTGCGGCTGTCACAGCTGCTTCGGTGATGAGGATGACAATGAGAGCAGGGATGATGCTTCATCTGCTCTTGCTGCTGAGCATGAACATCGAGAAGTCGCATAAGAAACGCAGACATCTGTCTCATGCTGGTGGCGGTGGTGCCGCAAGTTTTGGTTGTGATGGTGTTAAACAATGCGGTTCGTGACGGGTCCTCATGATGATCCTCATGGTCGCGATTGACAGTCGTGGTGATGGCATCGGTGGCAATGATTATCACAAGTCCTACAACTGCGACGAAGAATTTCTGTTGGCTACCAGAGTGGTCGCTAAGTCTTGTGACCTTCCTTGTCATGGTGCTTTTGAGCTAAACTTTGCAGCGGCTCATTGAAACCCCCAGACATAAAACGGCAACCCCAACCAAACCCTGAGCCCAAACCCCACATGACCGAGCTTCTGCATTCCTGCGGTCCCCGGTGCTGGTGGGCCATTGGAATGTGCCGCAGCAATGCAAAAATCAAGCCAAAGCAGAGCTCTGCAGCCTTGGGGGAAGTGCGGAAGAGACACAGGCAGGTCAACAACACTTCTGAATGAGAGCGAGAATGGTAATGCTATCGATAATGATGATGATGATGGTACCTGTCCTGGCAACAATGACAAACATAACAAAATAAGTCTGATGACAACTTTTGTCATAGTGGCAAAAGTAAGACTAAAACAACAATGGCAATACTATGTGCTCTATTCGTAATCAGGACAACAACACTATAGTATGGTAGTAGTCATCACGACAACGGCTTCTAAATCGGGAGCCTCCGGAGCAAGCTGCAGCTACGAAAGTCGCTCTGATGTCAGCCACAGCCCGTGAAACGAGAAAATACTGGTCTACAGCATCTCCCATGATCTCCCATGAGAGGCAGCGCCAAAACCATCTAATGTCGGTCCCTCATCTGTTGCTTCCACGATTCCACTTCAATGCCACTACTGTGTAGCCATCCAGTGCAACGGTGGGCACACACGCACGACTGCATATGCCTGAAACGTCAACCAGGAAGATCTTCGTGCGTCATATACCAGACAATGCAAAGCCATTCCAAAACGCGGCAAGCCCATTACGGGGTCTGGGCTTTTAGCTCTGACTTGGAGCTAAGCTGCGCCATCTGTGGAGTAGCCTGGTACGTTGGCCACATTTACCTTGAAAACATAGCGATGATCGGCAACATGGGCCTACGCTGCGAATTCCTGCTACTTCTGCTCGAAAGCTCTGGAACGAGATGGCCAAGCTCCATGCACCCCGCTGCCTGCACGCCTCCAGATCCACATGGTCATAGCCTGCCAAGGAGACCATGGGAATCTGGCAACAGATTTTTTCGCTCTTCCAGCCGGAAGTGTGAAACCTCGGGCAAGTGGCAACTGCCCACGCACCTGCCACCGAATTGACGAAGGATCGTGAACCTCACGCAACCATGAATCCCTGAATTCTGGAGACTATGGACTAGAATCCTGAGAATTCTTGAACGCCCCATGCGCAGCAAATTCCAAAGAGCTTTGAGGCCTGTGAAAGCTACGGCCACCAGTCGGAGCTTCGGCAAAGTCGCGAGCATCGACTCGTCCACACGCCTCACGTCAATGGCACGCCCGCGGAAACTAACTACTTCGAAACAAACACAGCAACGATAATAATAATAATAATGATAGTAGCAGAAGAAGTAGTAGTAGTAGTTGTTGTAGTAGTAGTTGTAGTAGTAGTAGTAGTAGTAGTAGTACTAGTCGTAGTCGTAGTCGTAGTCGTAGTCGTCGTCGTAGTAGTAGTAGTAGTAGTAGCAGCAGCAGCAGCAGTAGCAGTAGCAGCAGCAGCAGCATCATATACAACGGCAGAAACACATGTCATCGTCACAAAGAACATCAACAACACTACTGGCAGTCATAACAACATGATACGAGTACCGCACATAGTTGTAGTTTGAAAGTATGCCGTGCCGCGTGGATGTGTTGTGCCAACACAAAACGCCGGCAAGTGTTGGCTGCGGAAGACCCGGAACCTTAGAGTGACTTGCAAAGGATGAACAGGTCTGCTTCGGCACTTCTATATCTGGGGCCTAGGATGACAACATACAACGAAGACGGGTCAGCACATGATGTCATATCAAATCTTAAAGTATTAGAAATACATAGTATAGTATCTAATACAGTATGTAATATAATGAATAATGTCATTACCAAGTAAAATTACAAAGTGTATTTCGAACTTATAATGTATAATATATAACATCCGCAATTAGCTGGCCTTTTCACCGTGACAAGAACCGTGGCATTCTCGCAGTCGTGCCAGGCATGATCCTCATTGGCCCACACGACCTGTAGAAAGAGCAGGGCAACATTGACAAGCCTTGCAGGGAGGCTCAAGAGAGCGCGAACATGTATTATATATCATCTACTTTATTGTTTGATATGACATGTTATATTACATGTCATATATTATGTTATACATTATGTAGCCTGTCTGAGAGGGATGAGAAAGGAAAAAACAACAACACACGAAAACGCCAATCGAGAGAAAGAGAAAGGGATAGCCAGGCCTCAAGCCCACGCATGCCTACAACACCCCTCGTTCCGGGGGCCTCGTACTGGTGATTGATGCAGTTCAAAAATGAAAGAAGAATGCAAGCACCATACGTGTGAGTTACTCTTGTTGGTCGTTCTTGCCAGGTTGGTTGTTCCGGTGAGTCCCTGGTTTGCTTGTTGCAGCAAGTCCTTCGTACCATTGTATCTACATCGATACGTGGCAATGGCTCCCGAAGGTCATCGCGAACCAAGGAGCTTTGAGGTCGTGTCGTGCGAAGATCTCCACCACCGCTGCGCGGGGCCTTGAAGCTGGTTTCGGTTGAACTGTCGGCTTTGGGGCTGAGCTTTGGGGATGCGAAGGGGCTTCGAACCCAAAGCAGCCTAGGAGTTCGGGGTGTAGGTCTCGTTGGTGAGTTTTGAGTGGGCGACTCATTTCTACGTCAGCATCCCTGTCAAACTCCTGTCAAGCAAAGCCATGTTGATGGACGGAGACGTCCGAGTGAACCATGCATTGCAGCTGTTGCCAGGGTAATTTCTGATTCTGAACCGCTGATCCAAACTCGTAGTCTCGTATACACCTGCATGCAGAAGCTTGTGGGCTCGAGGAAAGGATTCGTCATATTTTGAACTTGCTCTGTTTGGAGGTCTTGCGAGATGCCCACGCCTAATCGCGGCTCCTAACGAAGTTTTCATGATCGCCGATGTCGACCTCATTCATTGATTTAGCTTCAGATAGAGGTGCAAGCAATGAGGGCAATGCCGCCAAGATTAACGGTGCTGGAAACTCGGTTGCCAACACCCCCGGAAGGAGCCCGTAAGCCAACCAACACTTCCGCCATCTTCCGCCGCCTCCTCCCAAACTGATGACCCCCTCCAACCCCAAACTCAAAAACACACACAGCCCAATAGCCGCAGCTACACCTTAAAACTGGCCCTGAACCCTAAGCCGCTATTCTCGGGACTCCGGGCAAAGCATCCTCTGCTGGATTTTCAAGCATGGCGATCACCGCTGGCTCGCCGGGCTCCTCCCCCGGATCTGATTGGGTAATTTAGTTTGATCGAGCTACTATAATAATAAGGAAAGCATGTTCTTTATCATAGATCCCTATTATGTTTAAGTTTTAGGATTTAGGGTTTAGATTCGTTTAGACTCTCGCAACTCGGGCAATGCAAGCGAGGATGGTCCATAGTTCGCAGGGAAGGCGCATGTGGCCTTGTCTTCACTACTGCAATGCTCCCCTTATGTCCTGACAGTGACATCAAACACCAGAAGACATACCTTAGGGTTTAAGGTTAAAGATTTAGGCCAAAAAGCAGGTTCTGGGGATTCTAGGGTTTGGGATGAGTTACTGCTGACAGTTGGATTCTTGCTCCAGAGCTGTTCGCAGAAATAGGCTAAGTACTGGCGCCACTACTACTGCCACCATCACTGCTGCTGCTACTGTGGCCAAAAAATAATAGGTGCTGTGATTAGCACTGGTAATTAGTGTAACAACGCCTATAGCCTATGCCTATGATGATGAGCGGAGTTCGGGCGGCACAATAAGGTGCTCCTGAGGCTCGTGCTGCTGGTGGCTATTATCGAATGGTGTCATTGACTGCGTTTTTTTCTGATCCGGCAGCTACTGGGACATAAATCGTAAACCATCGATAGCATGAGTCAATAGTCTGACTATGTTTACCAGTTTAAGGAACTATATGCTATTGTGTTCTATACGAGGGTTCCCTTTAAAGGGTATGTTTACCAATCGAGAAGTTCCTGGTCACTGCTCGGAACTCCGAAAGCCATCGAGAAGAAAAACCTCAAACATGCTTCCACGACGGCATCAACCACAAAGGGAAGCGAAATCATCCCGCGCTTCCAGTAGAATGGAATAAAGCTGGTGTAGTAGAATAATGCTACTATATAGAAGTTTACAATCGGTACTTGCTTCAAAGCCAACATATACACAGGCTGAAGTTCCGGCTCCTCCCAATCATGACCAAACACGATTTGCACTTTATTCACCATCACCCACAAACCTCTATCGATCCTACCATCGCGGCTTTAAGCCCCAAGAGAAATCAGCATCACACCATCGGCAGCCATCATGATGGTCACAAGCATGTGCACCTGCAGCAGTAAGTGCCTAGAGCAGCAGCACCACCACAACAGCCACCAGCAGCAGCACCAAAATTGTCACCATCACCATCATCATCGTTCTGGGCACCATGCTCGAAGTCGCTCATCATCTTGGCCACTATGCTCAAACTTATCCTCACCCGCTTCCTCACAATACTTGCCAGTGCCATCGTCGCAGTCACTTTCTTCGTCACACAAACATCGGCACCAGTATCAGCATGATAGATGCACGAACATTCATCATTAATATCATCGTCACCACCAGATGTCATCAAGGCCACCAGCGAAATATGGCAAAGCAACAACCATCATGTCACGATGATCGCATGTCTCTTTACTTACATGACTTACATGACGCTTTGTAGACACATCATCGAACTCATACTCGCTATCAAAGCCCTTGACCTCATCCTCGTCCTCATCAACGCTTGCCTTTCAACATCATCCCATGAATCCTGATGAAAGCCCACGAACCGAGCCTCCTCTGCAGGCTTCCGCACGGAGCCTTCTGTGTGCAGACGGGAATCCAAAAGGCTTTATGCTGCTTTAACAACTTTGGGGGTACTGTCCAAGGTTGACAGATTTCGGCAACCACACCAACGGTTCATTTTCTTGGGGTTGGTTGCGAGGGATTGGGGGAGTTGCAGGTCTACATGCCAGGCATTGGATTTACGGTATGCTGTCCGCCGTGCCATATCGAAGGGTCTCGATGGGAAAGGGCAGTTTCAGGCACGAGTGGAAGGGAACTCCTCTAAGCACAGGACGAGTTGGGCGGCAAGGTCCTTCGGGTTTAGGCAAGGCTTAACGTTTGAAGGGATTGAGTCCGTCGCAGGGTGGTTCTGCTAAGGCCGAAGCTAAAATTTGACTGTGGCCGCAGTGGCCCCTCACAATTCGAACAACACAGGTATGCAAGGATAGCAATGCTGGTTTCGCCTTTCAACTTTGGGCGGATTCTTAGCAGCTCGGCGTGTCGACTTGGTCGGTCTGGGTACGGTCCAAAACTTCATGAGCTGTCATTGCTGAGAGAGCTATCTTCGTCAGAATCGAAGACAACAGACAGAACCACCCACTTAGTAGCAACTATTCCAGGATTGAGAAACATGCTCGAGGCCACTTTTGAGAATCTCGGATTCGAGCACCTTCAACTGACTGTGTCCCACGAACTTACTCCAAGCAGCTTTTTAACTGCAGGACTGATCCACAAGACCTACATCTTCTTCTTGTTATGATTAACTATTCTTATTCACAGTAATAGTGGTATTGTTGTCATCGGTGGTAGTAGTCGTAGTACTACGACGACGACGACTACTACAGTACTTCTACTACTTTGTTGCATTGCAACTTGCTATCCATGATTCATTATTTGTGCGATGATACTACCACCAGGGTCACTAGGGCCAACCCTAAACCCTACACCCTAAAACCCTGAACCCCCCAAAGATTTCCGGACCATGGCCCCGAGACCGAGCCTGAGCTGCCACTTCCTTCTTTCGACCTCGCAGGCGGGGCGATTAGCTCGTCTTTTTTGGTTATAACTACGTAGATCGCAATATAAAGTAGTATATTGCAATGTACATGTGATAGTCTATGATACTACAAATAATATACTGACAGTACTATTTCAGTTGCAAGATCGGAACATAATGCGACAAGTTTATCCGAAGCCTCCAAACGGAAGTACCTCGGAAGGACAAACATGCAGCGCAGCATGCAAGACTTGACAAGTCTGCCGGAGTGGAAGCACAACACAGGGGAATCGAGACACACAGCACCACATACCCGTAACATCCATTGGGCTCCTCTCGGTTTTGACTCTTGTGCACTATAATTACCCAGATACGACACATTGGGCCATCCTTTGGTGGGCCACAGTACATGTGATGAATTCCTACAAAACAGCAGCAAGAGCTAACCTGGCTACACGCACAGATGGCGGAAACGACAGGAAAGCTTGGGCACCTTCAGCTCCCAAACCAAACATCCTGCAGAAGCTTGGGCTACGAGTACCCACATGCGTTGCCCTCAAGGGCTCCGAGACTGATGCATACTATCCACCATCAAAGGAAGCCTGACCTGTCAGGGAGCAACTAAAACCTAAGGGGTCATGCCCACGAGTTTCTGAGTTGCAGACGGCAGAGGCGGAGCAGTCGGCGCCTTGCCAAAAAAACAATCAGAAGCCCTGGCCTGGGACATGGCCACTGCCAGTACTCAAATCATCGAAATCATTTTCAGGATCGCACGAAAAGGTGACTTTCCTAAGTCTCATGGCGTTTTCGTTTCCGGCATACGGCAGAGTCTACACAGGGATGTGATGTCGCGCGCGTTTGGGACTCAGAGGCTGTGAGGAAATCTAGGAGCAGCCTCGAAAGGCTGATGCTTCCCAGACTTTGGCAGCAAGCGCCCAGATGTGTGCCCTTGAGTTTACAGCTCAGAGGTTTGGGATGGCTTGGGGCTTCGTGGATGAAGCTCCTTTCAAGAGCTAGCCTCACGAACTCCACCTTCGATTGACGGGAAGCTCAACCACCGGTCCACGCGGGCCTGCCCTAGTTGGGCAAATCCACCATTGACGATTAGTTACATACAATTGCAGCAGCCTCGTCATCGTGAATACCAATTGAAGAAGCACGTGAATGTGTTGACCGAGTGGCAGTGCGTGACAGGAGGACAACCCAGCATCGACATCTGTTGTGAAAATGATGATGATGATGACGATGGTAATGATTATTGCGATAACGGTCGTAAGCAGAAATGCCAGAGACCGGGTCAGACCAACAGGAGCTGATGTCATAGACCGCGGCAACATGCATACAACCATCCCGAAACAAAACTACATGTTACAGCGAATACAATGTAATCTAAGAAAAGACTGCATGCTTTAACGTAATAGAAAAGACAGCAGTAGAATAGACGAAAATAGAAAAGAACAGAACAGAAATGAACATAATAGAATAGCAAAGTCGAAATAAACAAAAATGGAATGTAGTACAACATACCTGTCTACACTTCGATATCGTTGAATGACGCACGGAAGGATGTTATAACACACTATCAGGTATTACGGCATAACACGACATATAGTACAATTTAACTATACCAAACAGGAGACATAATGAATGATATATATATATATTACTAATACTATTACTTTTAATAAAAATAGATCATTTCTCATATCTGAATAAAAATGCATATTATAGAACATATAATAAACAATATATAGTTATATACTATATAATAGATCATAACATAATATAGTATAATTATATATAATATAGTAAAATATATTATTATAGAATATAATAGAATATATAATATAATATCATATAATATCATGCAATATCATATAATGATATCATATAAGAATATCATATATTACAGTAAAACCTCATATACTATAATATAACAAAAATATAACATAATATAACAATTTGTAATAGAATATAATATCATATCATATAATATAATTTCACATAATAAAAGATATGATATGATACAATATAATATAACATAGTATAATATAATATAATATAGTTAACTTAATGAGAAATAAAATGCTTTGTCATACGCTTCCCCAGAACCACAGCCTTTTCGCTGCCGGGATTTTCGGCTGCTGGCCCGACCGGCGGTGCCTGAGCAGAAACCGTCCGATGAGCTTCCGGTGAAGAGTTTAGGGTGTAGGATGGGTTTATAGACCTATATATTATTATGAGTGTCACTTGAAATTACAGTTCTCTCAAGTCTGTGCAGCATGCAATGTCAGCATGAATATCAATCTACAGTAAAGCAGACATCCCAATTTCTAAGTCGCTTCTGCTTGTCAACACAAACCCAAGATGCGTTGGACGTCGCTGTGAATATTTTCACTAACGAAGTGCATCGCAAGAAGCACGCGTGTTTCACTTTTTTTTATCTCCAGCGTCTGCCGCCAGCACCTGCGCGTGGTGTCTCTAGCGGAAGACCTCGTCAAGCCAAGACGTGTTCCCGCGGCCAACTGGTTCGTCATCATCAGACACCATGCAGATCTAGCCCAAGTCATTGCAGAGTCGCAGAGTGCCAGGCCCTGCCGGATTCTGCTGCTTGAGAATCGCGCTGGTCTCGAGGTGGCCCGGAAAGGTGGCGACGAAGCTCATCAGCCAGGGACAGCCCTGCCACGGCAGCGCGCCGCACACGGGGCGCCGTGCATCGGAATCCGTCGCTATGAGCTCGAAGAGGAAGTTCTCGCAATCATGGACAAGAAGATCTCAGCCAGGATGGCGTGCGCACTCCAGGAGTACCTGAGCAATTGTACTAGGAACCTGTCAGACTCCGCCGAAAGCTCAAGTCAGCGCAAAGACTATGTGGAAACACATGGTATGTGGGACGCTTAAGTTGCAAGTTTTGGGTTGTGCTTTGAACAGAACACAACAGAACATGTGGGAAAGTGGCTGCAGCACACACACACACACACGCACACACACACATATATATATATATTTATTTATTTTTTTGTTTTAACAGAGATGACAACCAAGGATCAAGAAGTTGGGCGTCCAAGGCCAAGTAGCTGCAGCCGTGATACCTGGCATCAAGGACCCTCGCCAGAAAGATGGTGGCTTCCTCTGGCGGGATACTCAACGGGCAGTAAAAAAACAATGGACTCTGAAGGCTATATGTAAAAAATCACATGCAAACCTGTTGACTAGATAGTTGCAGTCCTGCATTTGAAGCCAGAGGTCCTCGTCGATGCTGCCCAAAACTACCTGAACACTAAACAGCATCTGAAGGCTTCGAGAACATATTTTTGACCTTCAGGGCCCCTAGTCTGGGTCGCAGAAGGCATCAGAAGGCTCGAGTACCGATACTTGCACTGGAGTGCTAGGGCTAGGGCCATGTGCGCGCTGAGACATTTCTGAATTCACACCTGGAGGCCAACTGCTGTGCTACTGAAAGAGCTGCCACCACAAAATGGTTCAAGCTCTCTAAAGACAAGCGGTTTGTGCCTGGCCCCCCTTCCCCTCCCCCTCCCAGAGACTATCAAGGTGCGTCCAGCGATCGAATCAGACTGGGATGCACGAAGACCGTCGGGAAGCCGCGGCCAGCCTTACTTCAAGTGAATCTTGTAGGGCGATCCGGGCGCAAACAGGCATTGTTGAGCCCACGCATTTGAAGATCTGATTCCTTGCGGCTTCCCAAACTCAATCCCAGATCGGAATACTTACGCAGAAGACTTAGGTCGGTCTAGGCTCCGCGAAGCAACCTCTTCCTGTTTACTGTTGCCGAGGGCGCCCTGGCTTTAGGATCTATTAGCAGACGGCCAGCCGAGTGCTCTACTGAAGAGCCCCTACAGTAGTGTTCTGGATTCCGGAGCAAAGCCCCGCCTCATTTGCGGATAGGGGTAGCAAGCGGAATCAGAATAAGACCGGGAAGAGTGAGGAGAACAAACACAAGATGGTCAACAATCTCAGTCATAAGAACAGACAAGCACTAGAACATCAACATGCTGATCAGGAATCACCAGAGAAAAAAACTAGCAGCAGCAGCAGCAGCAGCAGCAGCCACCACATCCGCCTCACGCATGCAACAAGCTGGACGATGATCACAAAACGGCAGCCTGAGCACTGTCAGCAACTGCATCTTCGTCACCAACACTAGTACCGCCATCGAACTTGTCGGGAGCAGAATCAGCATCACAATCTCTTGCACCGGCCTTTGTACAGTAAGCCAGCATCACCCGCATTTGCATCACCAGCAGCATACATCATTGCCTCCGTCAGCGGACGTATTGCCAACGGTCGTCGTCGTCACCATCCTCGTCCGCATCTGCATGTTCGTAGTCCGCCTTCTTCGTGCTTGCAGTATCATGTGGACATGTACTTCTAACAACCTACTACTGACTTTGGTCTTTCTATGCATGTTACCAATACTACTACGAGTACTATGGAAACTATACCTTTCAGAACCACAGAAAATCCTCTCTAAGTGTTGGCGTGAGTTGCGATGGCGCTCTTCCAATCCAGCAGCCGGTGGAGCGGTGGGTGCCAGGAAACGGACACAACCACTGGCACACATCCTGAATGGGTTGAAGGGTTTAAGAGCTGAGGGTTCAGGGAGTCATCTTCGGATCTTTCGACGGCTTTCCGAGAGGTTTGCGAGGGAGGGGCATCGAATGTGCCGGCTCACCGGGTCGTGAGGCTAGTATTGCTCACTGAAGTTATTACTGCTTACTCTGTGGACTTGAACCCTCCGAGGTCTGGTTGAATGAAGTGGCCACGAATAAATCCATGGCTCCGTGCTGAAGGGCATCGAGGTAGCGAATCGTCCAAGGAAAATGCCCGTCCAAGACTAGGCCTCAGCCCACGAAGTGTTGAGTCACAAATGCTTTGGCCAACATCTGGCCCTGGCACATGAGTCATCAATGCCTTCAACTGTGCGCCACGAAAGTATGCCAGATCTATCTCGGTTGCCTTCCAGCAGTCCGCGCTGCATGTTTGTTTCGGGGAGCCCTCTTGCGCAACGTTATAGGACCGCTTAGAAGAAGTGCTTCCTGCTGCCAAGCCAAGAACTGCCGATATCTGCCGATCGCTCAACTGGTTTTCACACGTCATCAAAGATAAACTACTCACGAGCCAGCCGACGAGAAGCAAAAGCGGCTCGTCTGAAGGGTCTTTGTATAGATGCCAGGCACGCCAGGTGTGTTCATCACCTGTTGTGTGGCAATGCAGCAGGAACCGTCGACACAGCGGCTACTTTTCAATTCAGTTCATTTCGGAAGCGGCGACATCTACAACACAGGAAGAGTAAGACCTACCGTGTTTCGCTAGAACCAATCATCGTCAGATTAGCTGTCTCTCGCTGCATCTTCATCACGACCACTGCTACAACAAAACTGAAATCTCACTATGGTGACAGCTGTTAAACTTGACACTGCGATGACGCAAGTTTAGCTCTTTTGCGAAGCTTGGCCGACCAAGCCTTGATCCCAGTGCCCTCCCTGTGCAGCCAGTACTCCAGCAGATCTCGCCTGCCACAGTCACAAGAGTTGGGCTACTTTCTTTGATTTAGGCTGAGATTATTGGGTTTGGGGATGTTTAGGGTTTCGAACCCACAGCCACTGGCCTCGGGGCTTCCCGTTTACTTCCCAAGAGTCCTGGCGGGCTGCGTTTCTGGCTGACTGCGAGTCTACTTCTCCGCCATTGTCGAGGGTGTTCATTCGCGAAAACTCCCAGATCGGCTCCACGGCTTGCGCCCACGAAGACAAAGAAAACGAGACAGAGAGAGAGAGAGAGAGAGAGAGAGAGAGAGGGAGGGTGAACGAACAGCTTGTAGTACCGAGATAGACAAAACACTTGCACCACCTGTTCGTCCCAGAAACTGCACAGTTTTGAGAAGAGCTTTCAACCACGCCTTTAAACCTAAAGCCCCAGCCTGGAGCAGTGTGTTTCCGTCCCCACGAAAGAGGCGAGCCAAGTACGGCCATGGGGCCCGCGCCTTTGTGGGCCAGTGGAGCTAATAGGCTTCAGGGCATCATGTGAGTGCCGAACATGCTGCATTCCTATGTGCTTCTGAGCGGCCAGTGCTTCTTCGTGTCGAAGAGACACGGATACTGGATGGTAACATCCTCGCTTCGAATGGTGCCGGAACTACACCGGCGCGAGGGCACAACGTGAAAACTAACACCATTCAATGCTTCTGCGTCTTCACGAACAAGTCTCGGTCCCTGCAGATATCCGCTTATGACGGTGAATCTTTGCTGCCCTGAAGCTGGTGGCAGTGCTTGTGGCAGCTCATGACGGGCCTGATCCTATTTTCCTGAACTTTCCTGCATCTTTGTCCCCGAATCCGCAAAACCCGTGCGCGATGAATCCAAGGAGAAAAAAGTAAAAGGGTACAGGTTCAGGGCCGAATCTACAGCCTCTCAGGTCTCCAGACCAAAAGCAGCTGCCTTATGCAAGCCAGCAGCATTCCTCCAAATGTCAGGATAGTGGAAGTACCTCCCAGCCAATGCGCGGAAGATTGCAGAACATACTAAGGGGCTTACGTGGTAGGTTGGGGTGGATGAAAATCTGCAGACAAAACTTTCTGGCTGTCGCTGCAGTCGCGGAAGTTGGACAAACGTTCACCAAGTCCGCCCCGAGATAACCGGAAACATATCCCGACATGTCTGGTCAAACAGATAACAGGAACAGGGAGCTTGCTGGAGAACCTGAGGCCCATCAAAACCCCCAAAGCCCAAGAAACGTTAAGTTGCCGTAAGACCTCACCCCCAAACTCAAAAAACCTTGAGCCCTAAACCCTATCAGCCTCAACTCGAAACTCTAAGAAACACAGAACCCTAAACTTAAACTCAGAAGCATAAACTTGCCGAAGCTCCGGAAGCCGTTTGCAGCATCCGTTTTGGGGAAGCCCTTTCCTCGGCTCTGCACTCGCTTCCAGCTCCTTTTTGCTGGTGGCCCCAACGGGGGCCGGGGGGTGGGGGGGGGTGGGTTGGGTTTCGGGTTTAGGAGTCTCGGGTGTAGGGTCATTGAGAGTTTAGGGAACAAGGGCGTGGAGCTTCGGGCTTGTATGGGATTTGTTGTTTTCTTTGATCGCCGCTTTTCTCTCTGCCTCTCTCCCTTGGGCAAGAAAGCCCACACCAGGGTTTAGGGCTTAC